TTATACAGAGCAATCGTCCTGTTTCTAAGTATTGTCTCTGCTGTAGTGTGAGATGTGGGTCATGTGTTACAAGGCTGACACGCAGCGTGGTGGTGCCCTCCTTCAGACCTCGAGGGAGATAAGTGGGCAGTGGGGTACTGCTCCTGCAAGAAAGGAAAGATCCTTTCCCACAAGCGAGTCCTAGCTTTGGCAGGTTACCCATAATGCCCTTTCACAAGAATTGGCAGGGTCCCAGAATTGGCAGCTTACCAGAAGAGGAGCACACATTATAAGCAAAGTGTGACGTCTCTCTTCACCTGCATGACAGAAGCCACTTCCCTCTGTTTTCCGTCACACTGTGATACAGCTGGACACTAGCACCATGCTCTTGGATATTACGGAATTGTGAGACAAGCGAATCTCTCTCTCTGCCTTTCTTTCTTTTTTAGATAAAATATTCAGCCTCAGGTATTTTGCTATAACAACACAAAGCAAACTGAGGCAATGATCAGTGTTGAGTTCGTACGTACAGGCCAAGTGCTGTATAAAAGACCTTTTGCTAATGTTATCTCTTCTTAACTATAAATCGCAAAACACCTTGAACTGACAATATTATTATCCTCATTTTCCAAGGAAAGAAGCCAAGGTATACAAATAAATAAGTAACTTGCCAAGATCTTATCACTAATATATACAGACGTCAGTATTTAAACCAATCTCTTTTTTTTTTTCCCCAAAACTTGGAACTGCTACACTTTCCAACTTGATACAGTGGAAATGGCCTTTATCTTGGGTTTGCTTCATGCTATTTGTAGCCAGTCAACAACTCTTTAAATATTTCCCTTTATATATTTTGTCCAAAATAAATAAGAAGTTGCTCTATTCATGAATCTTAAGTCCCATTGTGCTATTTCACCCATGGCCACTGAATCACAGCAAAAATGCCTCTCGAAGTCTTCCCTAGCGACTTTGTTCTCTGGGTTCCCACACAGCATCCTACGCAGGCACTCATTGACTACTTTTCTTTTTATCCTGATGATAAATAGTCCTTTGGATGGCTTTGCAATCTAACCCCACTTCCCTCAGGGACCATTGTATAAACACAAGTCCATACCACTTACGGATCACATCTTTCATCTCTCCCCTTCCTCCTTCACTCCTGAAGTCTCATGCCTTTTCTGTATGCTCTCACTGAAGAACCAGCATGTCTCCATCTTAGACTTGAAAGCCATTTTATAGTAAAGACAAACTACATCCATTCCTGTTTACGATTAAACCTCTGTTTCTCAAGGACTGGGCTATGCCTCGTCTGCAACCCTAACTACGGATGGTTCCGTACTGCCTGTTCCAGGAATGGCAATCATGTCTGTGTTCAAAAAGTTGTTTATAGTTATCTTGAAACTACCCTTGTTCCAAAACGTTGTAGGACCACCCATGACTACCTTGTTTTGATTACTTGTTGTGGTGACCTTGTTTTGACCACCTGCTCTTCTCTGCTCCTGTAACCCAGCCTATTTCCCCCATTTGGAAACCCCCTAAGCTATAAAAGCCTTGTCTCCTCACATTCAATGCTAACCTCTCAAGCCCTGTCTTAGAGGGAGACAGCTGTGTACACTATTTTTTTTTTAAGCTTGCTTTACTTAATTTAGCCATGATGATAAATCAGTGGTCTTTCTTGTCCCATTTTTTGGATTAGCACACACTTCAGCCAACCTGATCTGCGGTTTTTCATTTGGGTTGTTAACTTCTGCATGATTCTCATCTCAGGCAGATATAAAGTTTTGGGTGATCAGAATTACTCCACTACAGCATTCTCCATCCACATGTTGGGTTGAAACTTGCCTGGCTCTGAGACACAGTTTTGAAAGACACAGTATTAAATACTCCAACCCCAAATATTAAAATACCAAGGCATCAAAATTCACAAATAAAACAATGAAAAAATGATTTAATATTTTAAAAAATATTTTTATTTTAAATAGGGAATTCATTTGAGGAACATAAAAACATGATAGAAGGACCTCACTGGTAAAGGGCTTGCTACACAAGCATGTGGTGGTTTGAATGAGAGTGACCTCCAACAGGAACCCCACAAGGAGAGCAACAGAACCAGAAAATTTGAACACAGGGGTCTTCCCAGAGACTCATACTCCAACCAAGTACCAGGCATGAAGATAACCTAGAACCCCTGCACAGATGTAGTCCATGGCAGTTTACTGTTCAAGTGGGTTCCATAGTAATGGGAAGAGGGACTGCCTCTGACATAATCTGATTGCTCTTTGATCACCTCCCCCTGAGGGGGGAACAGCCTTACCAGGCCACAGAAGATGACAATGCAGCCACTCCTGATGTGATCTGATAGATTAAGATCAGAAGGAAGGAGAGGAGGACCTCCCCTATCAGTGGACTTGGAGAGGGGCATGCGTGAAGAAAGGGGAAGGAGGGTGGGACCGGGAGAGGAGGAAGGAGGGGCTTATGGGGGGATACAAAGTGAATAAAGTGTAATTAATAAAATTAATTTAAATTAAACAAATTAAACAAAACAAACAAACAAACAAAAAGAGTGATCTACATAGACTCATGTAGTTGAATGCTTAGTCATCAGGGAGTGGCACTGCTTGAGAAGGACTAAGAGGTGTGGCTTTGTTGGGGTGGGTGTGGCCTTGTTGGAGGAAGTGTGTCACTGAGGGTGGGCTTTGAAGTTTCAAATGCTCAAACCAGGCCTAGTGTTGCTCTCTTCCTGCTGCCTGCAGATCAGGATGTACAACACTCAGCTACCTCTCCAGCACCATGTCTTCCAACCATGCCACCATGCTTCCAACCATAATGCTAATGGATCAAGTCTCTGAAACTATAAGAAAGTCACAATTTTTTTTATAAGAGTTGTGGGATACTGGGTATGGAGGCACATGCCATTAATCTAGCATTCAAGAGACACAGGCTGGTAGATGTATAAGTTCAAGGCCAGCCTAGTCTACAGAGTGAGTTCCAGGAGAGCCAGGGCTATACAAAGAAACCCTGCATCAAAACACCAAAACCAAAAATGAGTTGCTGTGGACACAGTCTCTTCACAGCAATAGAACAGAGACAAAGTCCAAGCATGAGGATCTCAGATTGGATCGCAGCATTCATATAAAAAGTTTCATTTTCTCTCTGGTAGTCTGAATGAGAATGGAACCCACAGGCTCATATATTTGAACACTTGGTCACTAGCTGGAATAGCTGTTTGGGAAGGATTTCAGGAGGTGTGGCCTTGTAGGAGGAAGGGTGTAACAGGGGTCAGGTTCTGAAGTTTCAAAAGACTTCTGCCATTCCCAATGTTCTATCTCTCTCTCTCTGCCTCATAATTGTGGATCAGGATGTGAGCTCTCAGCTGCTCCTTGGCTCTGCCATCATGGACTTTAACCTGCTGAAACCCTAAGCCAAATGAAACACCTTGTTTTATAAGATGCCTTGGTCATCATGTAAGTTTTTTTTATAATAGCAATCAAAGTAACTAAAGCAAATCTCATATAGAGACACATAAGTAAAGTAAGTCTGGTTGAGCATAGTAGCACTCACCTTTAATCCCAACACTCAGGAGGTAGAGTATTGTGGCTATAAACATGTTTTTGTTTTGGTCCCAGGCGTGGGATGTGGGACTGATTTAGATGGTCCACAGCAGCAGCCTATTCGCCTCTTGTGGGCTCTGAGAGGAACTCTTTGCCAGCTGCAGATAGTTCAAATCTGAGGACTCTAGAGAAAGAATAAATGCTGGAGCCCAGAGAGTGTGGAGAAAAGAGAAAGATCTAGGCTACTCCCATTTCCCCCTTGCTGCTCCTGGTTGCTGTTGTGAGTCAAGAAGTTAAGATCTCCTGAAATGGATTGGACTGGCTCCAGGGAACCAAATGACCCTGACCAGCAGGAAGCAGCTAAGAAACAAAACCGCACCCCCTCTCCTACTAGTCCTTTCTCTCTCCTAAATGGAGTAGAGTGTTGAAAGGGACTGGGGTAGAGTGGGGAGAAAAACATAAAATGAATGTAAATAAAGAAGTTTTTTTTTTTTTTTTTTTTTTTTTTAAGTATGCCAACCATAGAGTTTGGCCAATCTCTGTAAAAATAATACTTTATAAGATACTGTACACAACAGCATGAGCGACACCAACACACACAGCTGTCAAGGAGAAGCACTCAGGTGCAGTAAAGACAGTTGCATTGATGTGACCCGTGTGCACACACACAGCTTATCCATACAGAAGTAGGACAGATAACGAAATGTGTAAGCACAGATCACTGTGGTTGATTACTGTGTGCACCAAGCTTTGTAACTGTGGTCATCTGAAACACCACAACTGACGCTAAGAGTCACACAGAGCATTATGGGTCAAGCCTGCATAGTAACTGCCCAGGATCCAGATTTGAAGACATTTGCTTTTTACAGATGCAGATGCTAAAAAGGTAATCTCTTCATTTCTTGAACAAATTTCAATTAAAAAATATTTTAGATTTATTTTGTTAGGCGTGTGAGGGTTTGGCCTGCATGTGGTCTGGGTAGCACATGCATCCATGCTGCCCTCGGAGGTCAGAAGAGGGCTAGCCTAGAGTTGGAGTAATGAATGGCTGTGAGCTACTATGTGGGTACCAGGACCCAAACCGCGGTCCTCTGTAAGAGCAACAAGTGTTCTTAGCCACTGAGCCCCCAAGTTTTAATAATTTTAGAGATATGCATAGCAGTAACATAGAAAATGAACATTGTGATTGTATATTTTCACTAATTTTAACGTGCCGAACCAACCCACATAAAGCAACAGAATCCTCTAGGGGTGTTCTCAAATGTTAAACCTCCAGTATCGAATGTGATAGAAAGATGAAATGAGGGAGCATAGCAAATTCCAAAAACCAAAGCTGGCTATTTAAAATTATAGAACACATAAAACTAAAAAAAAAAAAGGGGGGGGGGTCAGGGTGGCACACAGCTGACAGCAATCCAAGGCCTTGAAAGGACCTGTGCCACCAGGCAAGCTCCTTTTCTGAAATTGCAGGTACCCAGGATGAATCAAACTGAACGTGCTGCTGGTGGTTCCCACAACATAGGAGAGGGCCTGCTTGAGAACAGCAGCTTCTCAGGGGATGCTGGACCAAAAGCCAGAGAGTCGCTGACTCCTGACTGCAAGCGAATGCCTGGATCAAAGCTTGGAGTTCTCCCCACCTCTGCCAAGGACAACCTTCAGCTGGTAAGCACTCAGAGTGGATGAGAGCATGCACATCCTCCTCCCTTAAATGCAGACTTAGTGTTGGCTTGTGTCTGCGCTGGAGGAAGAGACAAGAGCAAGGATTTTGAAACCCAGTGCTTAGCTGGCCTGAGGGGTTGCACGGAGAACTAGTCTAAGAATAGTTCTAAGAATAGTTCTGTGTTTGTTTGTGTATAGAATTTCAAACTCAACTTTTGTTCCTAACAAAAGTGAAACCAACAATTCTTTGGACCTCACTGACAAAATGTTTATGTTCATCCAGAAGCTGGGACCCCTCTAGTCTCGGAATCTCTGGCCTTTCTTGGCTGTGTTACCCTCCCAAGGATGCAACCATTTAATTACGCTTCCTACTCCTCTGTCCTCCTGTGTAGTCACTCAAGGGTGATAAACTGGGCATTTCTTCCACATGCTTCCTTCTCCTTTCTCGAGAGTGTCAGTCAGTTCACGTGCTCAGCGAGAACGGTAAATATTTACCGAATACCACGTAGTGCTGTCACCCCTATCTTCTAGCGCTTAGCGGTCCAAGAGGAGGGAGCTACTTATAATTTTACTGGATGTGACCGTCACAAAGGTCACAGGGCAAGTTGTTGGCAGAGGAAGAAACTCGACCTCTGGCAGACACCATTCTCTTCTAAAGAGCCCAAGTCAAGACACAGAGAGACTTGCTTTGAAACTTGCTTATTTTGGGACTTGAGCAGATTTGTCAGCTTTCCCGAGACTCTAGTTTATACCTGTAAGATGTTGATGCTCTCCCTTCCAGTACTCTGGTGGGTTATGATAAATGAGCTGTCAGGCACACTAGCACAGGTTAACTTGGGATGTTTCCTTCTTCTTCGACAGGAAATACCTGGTCCCATTAACCACGATGCTTCACATAAAAGAGGCCTGTACTCCATGCTAGCACTCTCCCAGTACAGCTATGCGTGTGTGTATAAACAAACACTCTTTTTTCAATGTTGAGGATAGAACCCAGGTTCTCAGGCATGCTAGGCCTGAGCTAAATCCTCAGCCCAAAGCACTGATATATATGTATATGTATGTGTACATATACTCACTCCTATGGAGGCACATGGTGCCTCAAATCATAGCATTTAGCCCTTTCATTATTGATTGGTCACTTACTGTGACTTTGAGGACTCAGAGAAAAGTCAATCCATATCATTGTGTAGGTTCATCTTACAAAGACGAAGGGATGAGGTAGGGACGAATTGTAAGGTTTCACCAGCCATCTGAATAGGGTTTTCATTCCAGGTCAACGGGTGTACACACCAGGCATTGTTCCATGGGGCTGGAGGTTCGGTGTAAGCAAGATGGCCCAAGTGTGGGAGAGGAACAGCGAACTGATGGCTCCTTTCTTCCCTCCTGCCCCGCTGCTCTCGGTGGCACTGTTCCCCCACTTACCTTGGGGGAACAGTTCAGAGCGGCACACAGCAAATTATGCTTCTGAGCAGCTTAGCTATGAGTGGCTTTACATTGTGGATGAGACCCTTCGTAGGCTGCAAAACCTGGGATGTTCCCTCCCCATTGACCCTTTGCAAAACATGTGCTGATTTCTGGTCCAGAGAGTATTCTATTCCTCAGGGCCAGAATAAAAAGCGGAATCCTCCAGCTGTTAGAGTCCTTTCTCCTATTAATCCTTTGCCATGTGTGTGAAGGAAATTTAAGCATTATTTCCTACAATGTGATCGAGACGGGGCAGATACACTGTTTATATTAATTTCATGGAATAATAATTCTGCTTTTTTTTTTTAAGCCTTTAACTGTTTGTTACTTGGTTTTCCTAGCCTACAACTCTACATAAAATGCTTCTATTCTCCATTCAGATCTTTTTCCATTTTCCTTTTTTTAAAAACAAAACAAAACAAAAGTGGGCATCAGAAGGTGACATGTGCAAATGACCTACCTACCCAGGAAGAAAAGAAGCAACTTGGCTGTTACTGCCTTTGGTAGTTACTACTTCAAAAACCCCTTAACCTTTCCATCTATGTCCTACGGTGTGTTTTTCATGGAGTCATATTTGTTAGACTAAAGTAGTCTTACTGTGTATTCCTCATTGTGTCTACTTGTTAGACTAAAGCAGTCCTCCTAAGAGGTCTAAATATTTCCCAGACCTTCTCCCTGGGTGGTGTACTCTCTTGCTTCCTTTTCTTCCTGCTAGCCCAAACTTCTGATTGCTCAGTAAGAGTCTCTGGCCAAGGGAATCTTTCAAGTGGTGACTTCCACTCCTAAGATTAATTTCGAGCTGTGGAGCTGAGTCCCCTTCCTTCTCCTATAGAGCTGTTCCAGGTAACAATGTCACCAATGCCCACTTTGAACTTGTATATGTTGTTTTGGTGTAGAGAGTAGAGAGTCCCTGCCCAGCCACACTCACACTGAAAACATGTGCAAACTTGTTCTAACCTCAGCTATGAGTTGAGTGGCCTGAGCTGGGCATCAGCTGACTCAGCCCAGCTCTTCTTTGAATTCATTCTCAGATCTGAGCCAGCTGCTTAGCTTCCCATGCCTACATTTCCACATCTGTAACAAAAAGATAATCCAAATTTTTATTTCGGCTTCTGAGAATAGAATTAAACTGTGTATGAACACTGATGTTCCCATGGCAACAGTCTTGTCAGGTACCTAGCATGCCGCTGGAGGCAATAAATTATTTATGATAAGTACTTGTAGAGTCTGCTGCCACGGATGCTTACAGGAAACGTGGAGGATGTACTTTCCCGTTCATTTGCATTCATCATCGAAGGAGGCTACATCCCCAAACTATCTGGTTCTCAATTTGCAAAATGAAATCAATTAGCACACCTTGGAGCCCTTAAACCCACAAGGAAAAATGAATGTGGCTATAGTTTATATAGAGAGAAAGAAACTAGCTTCCTACTGAAACCACAAAGGCTTTCCTGGGAGTGGCTGATGGGTGTGGAAAGGGGCCATCTCAAGAAAACAGGAATGTCAGTTCTACAAAGCAATTTTATTGTTATGTTACTATCATTATTCTTGGCTGTGAAAAATGTAAATCTACAAAAGGAAAAATGTAATAATCACATCATCATTTACAGGTAAACAATGTCAGCACTTTGATATCAACCCTCCCCATCTTTTTTCTAGACTTCCAAATAGTCTATGGCTTTTTCTCATTCAGGATCACTTTTGTAAGTCATTATGTATTATAGAAAGTAACCAGCAGAGTGTGTCATCAGAGGGACATAATTTATGTAGCCAATTCACAATTACTCAATATTCAAGGTTGTGCCCTAAATTATATGTTAATTAAAATAAATTAATACATTACCTAAGGCATTATAATAATTAACTGATACTTTGCCAATCTACAAATATTTTTGTTCATCCATATCACTTGTACTGTGACATTCTCTTCCTTACAAAGGTCTGTCTATCAGTGAACTAGAGGGAATACTCCCAAGTTCCTCCTCAACAAATTTCCACAATACTCTCCAAATGAAAAGCACTTGTATGGAATTTATTTTCCCATTTTCTCTGGTCTCATATATGAATCTATTGCCTAAAGTGTCATCTTCCCTTTCTGGACTTGTTGAAAAAAAAAAACAAAAACATTTTTTTCTTTCTGATTCTTACTTCCTATAACTGAAACAGCGATCTCTTTATTTTAACAACAATCCATTTCTATTATTAATTTTTGATGCTATGTTTTACTTTCTCTTTTGATGAAGGTTTATTCCCATTACTCAGCCGATTTCACAATTTTTAGTATCAAACTCCCTTTAGAAATTCTGAAGATGCCAAAGAGTCTCTGTTGGAGCTGTATCTGTTGCTATTTGATGTGTTAGAATGAAAATAGAGTAAGGCTAACTTCTTTTCTTTTTTTTCCTCATTTCATTTTCAGGCTATAATACATCAAAGTTATGAAAGATAGCTATACTTGAAAAGTGAAAGCAAGTTTAGTGAGAAGAACGATGTCATTTTACATTTTAGCAACTCCGTTTGATGCCTGGTCTAAGGAAAAGCAGCAGAATTCATCCACAAACAGTGTTGCCTTAGGTAGCCATGGTGGACTCCCCAAAAGGAAGGAAGATCTGCCTCACTCAGTGGTGTGGTAGAAAGGAGACCCTGCCTGTCCAGGGCAGCCTCGGGGATACCCAGGATTCTCTGCCTCAACTGAGAAGTGCAGCCCCAAACCTCCTCCACTTGCTCAGCATCTTTTCTTGTGACAGTTTTTGTTTTTCTTTTAAATAAACAATGAGATGACAATGGTATTTCAACATTGCATGAAAAATGCTTCAGTGACAGACATTTATATTTGTACAGAAAATGAGAAAACACTTCCTTTGGGGTATTTAGGAGATAAGACCCTGTGTGAAGCAACATGGTTATTAAAGAACATTGTTCTTTCAGTATCTACTTTCAATAGATACTTAAGTTTCATACTTAAACATGGAGATTCAAAGCTAGCAATTTTCTAAATGAAGCAAAATTTTTCTTTGTGTGATTTTTGGCAAAACTCCATTTTGAATTTTGGCTCAGTTACAAAACAGGGCTCTGTCCCTCTCTAGTCCACTTCCTGGTCAGGTGACTTGGGCATTCTGTGTTCTATAAAATGGAAGCTCTCAGGCTTTGTTGCTTAATAATATTGAACGTGTCTTACTTTCCCCTAATGAACCCAGAAGTGGAACCAATCTTCATGGGACATTTAAAAATTAGAAATGTCAAGTTTGCTGTGGTGGACCTCACAGTGGATTCTCCATCATGTGTCTGATACAACAGGAGACCTGAGGGTTGTTGTGTAATCTATTCTGCCATGGTTTGATGGTGTCCACTGGGCGAATGGAGTGAATGTATATTGTCTGACATGGGCACAACATGTGAAGGACCCCAATGCTTTAGACCCATAGAAATGGCAAAGCCTTTGCCTGCTCTTGTCAGTGAGCCCAGAAAATACCAGCTGCAGCCTCCTCCAGGATGTTTATTGTCTTAGACTGCTCCCCACCTACTGATGAGCTAAG